AAACGTTTGAAGTATTGGGAGAATTGCCAAAATGTGACAGAGACATGAAGTAAGCACATGCTGTTGGAAAAACAGCACCAATAGACTTGCCCGACGCAAGGTTGCCACTAACCTTCAATTTGTAAAAAACACACTCTCTGCCAAGAGCAATAAGGTGAACCACTGTATAATGACGTATGCCTCTGTTATGCTTCGGCGGTGGTCAGGCAGCAACACATTAGAAAGACCACACTTCAGAAGCAGCTAAAGTGTATTTAAATTTATTTATTCATTTATTTTTGAGACAGAGTCTTACTCTGTCACCCAGGCTGGAGTGCAGTGGCACGATCTCAGGCTAACTGCAACCTCTGCCACCCAGGCTCAAGCGATTCTCATGCCTTGGCCTCCCAAGTAGCTGGGACTACAGGCATGTACTGCCAAGCCCTGCTAATTTTCTGTATTTTTGGTACAGATGGGGTTTTACCATGCTGCTCAGGCTGGTCTGGAACTCCTGACCTCAAGTGATCTGCCTGCCTCAGCCTCCCAAAGTGCTGGGATTACAGGCACGAGCCACAGTGCCCAACCCAAATCCCATATATTTTAAATTTTGCTAATTTCATATGTGGCATCTTATTTTTAAGATTTATCATACTTTTGAGCAAGCCAAAAATAAAAACCCATCTCTGACGTTCACTATGCTAATTAGCAACCACATGATGTAGATAAGATGGTGATAATAGATGTCCTTGTGATATGTGATCCCAAAGTGAGATCTTTCTAATATGTTGCTGCCTGACCATCATGGGAGCCTGGAATTCTCCGTTTGTGTTAGTAAAACTGAAGCTTATATACTAGCACATTCATATCACATTTTGTATGCTGAAGTGGGTTAATATATGTTAACAGCAACCACACAAGTAGTTGAGTTCCAGCCTGTGGAACTCCCGTTTGTAGGCTTTTTATATAGGAATTCATGCCAGCTTTCTAGGAGTCTCCATTCTAGCAGGGGAGAGGTATCATTTGAGTAGGGATGAAAGGGTAGAGGAACAGAAGTGTGGTTGTGTTCTGGGAATACACTGCAGAGTGTGCAGCCAGATGGAACAGATCATAAAACTGGCACTGAGATAGGATATGATGACGGTGGAAAACTTTAACTGCTAGTGACTGCTGGAGACCCACTCTGCTAATGGCAGTGCAGCTCAATTACTTTCAACTTGCCTGGCTGATTTTCTCCCTCAGACATTGATGAAGTAACAAAGAAAATGATCAATTTCTACCTAAACTCTAAGCTATGAGGAACAATTTAGATGATGAGGTAAAACTGATAGGAATCCTGGAAGAGAGTACATGTTCAGCTTAGTTTACTTTGACAAACATTTAATAAATGCCAGGCATTAGGCCTGGGCATTGGTAATCAAAAACTGACTAAGGAAACTATGAGGACCAACACACCCAAATTGGGTGGGTCAGGAAAAACTTCCCAAAACGTGAACTGAGTCTTAAAAACGAGTGGTGTGTGGCAAGTGAAGAAGAAAGAACGTGGTGATGGGGCTGGGGCTGGGGATATTGTTCCAGGCAGCAGGGACCACAGCAACAAAATCATAGAAGCATGGCATAGCCTTAGTGCACAGAAGTCTCACAAGATATTTGATACTGTTGGATTTTGAAGAGCAAGGCAGGGCAGCAAGGAAAGGAAGCTAGGCGGAAAGAAGAAATGAGCCATCCCCATCAAAAAGTAGGCAGGGGATATGAACAGACACTTCTCAAAAGAAGACATTTATGCAGCCAACAAACATATGAAAAAAAGCTCATCATCACTGGTCATAGAGAAATGCAAATCAAAACCACATTGAGATACCACCTCATGCCAGTTAGAATGGGGATCATTAAAAAATCAGGAGACAATGGATGCTGGAGAGGATGTGGAGAAATAGGAACACTTTTACACTGTTGGTGGGAGTGTAAATTAATTCAGCCATTGTAGAAGAATGTGTGGCGATTCCTCAAGGATCTAGAAATAGAAATACCATTTGACCCAGCAATCTCATTCCTGGGTATATACCGAAAGGTTTATAAATCATTCTATTATGAAGACACATGCACACGTATGTTTATTGCAGCACTCTTCACAGTAGCAAAGACTTGGAACCAACCCAAATGCCCATCAATGATAGACTGGATAAAGAAAATGCGGTACAAATATACCATGGAATACTATGCAGTCATAAAACAGGATGAGTTCATGTCCTTTGCAGGGACATAGATGAAACTGGAAACCATCATTCTCAGAAAACTGACACAAGAGCAGAAAACCAAACATCACATGTTCTCATAAATGGCTGTTGAACAATGAGAACACATGGACACAGGGAGGGGAATATCACACACCAGGGCCTGGGGTGCAGGAGTGGGTAGGGGGAGGAATAGCAAGGTGTCAGGGCTTGGGGAGGGATAGTATTAGGAGAAATACCTAATGTAGATGACAGGGTGATGGATGTAAACTAAGTTGAAGTATTAATAGAAGAATTAAATTAGGCTTCAATCATCCTCTGAAACCAACAGGACAGAGATAAAGGAGAGCAGAATGAGACCTTCAGTCAGGAAGTAAGAGCATGATAACCAGTGATGGTTAAAGTTCATGGAGGCAGTCGAGATAACTTAAATTTTAGGAAAGCAGATTTAAATAAATTTAGAATAAAGTTATGATCCCACAGCTTTGAGTCTTGCAAATTGTGAGATGTGCAAAAATAAAAGCCAGACTTTAAAACTACAAACTATTACAGTGAAAAGAAGAGAGCAATTGATTAACGAAGACTTCTTTGGAGTCTCTCTTTTAAACCAGAATTTTGGAGGATTTGTGTATTTGACTTTTGTTGAAAAGAGGACTTTATAAACAAGTTTGCACAAATCAAAGGCTGCCTGAGAGTCACCCCCAATAAGCTAAAGCTTGGAGGAAATGGTAAGGCCAACCAAAAAGAGCTCTTTAAAAGTTACCTTCATAGAAAAAAAAATTAAAAATTTATAGTGCCACTGATTTGGAGAGAAGGCATAATGTTCAAAAATGGAAATTACAGAGAACGAACGTAAAATTCCCCTTATTTCCAATTTCCAAATTTCTGCGTAAGGAGCACCATCATCACATAGAAAAGAGTGCAACAACTGTATAGTAGGAACACTGATAACTGGACCATATCCAGAGGAGAGATATGGCATGTGAAGATTGGCTGAAAGAAATGATAACATTTATCCCTGAGCTCATTACGGGGCACAAGAGCAATTTTCATATTGAAATGCTGTCTTTTAGAAGAGGAGTTAGTTATTTCTGTTGTATGTTGTAGATCGATGAGGAAGAGAGAAGAACAGTGGGAGAAAGGAAGAAAACAAGGTTAATTTATAAAAGTCACAGGAAGCTGAATTTTAAGTCAAATAATCACCTTTCACCTATTGGGTTTCTTCATACATGTTTCTCCCCAATGCTTTATTTATTTTATTTTTATTTTTATTTTTTGAGACAGGGTCTCCCTCTGTCATCCAGACTGCAGTGATAAAATAATAGCTCACTACAACCTTGACATCCTGGACTCAAGTGATCCTCCTTCCTCAACCACTGAAGTAGCTGGGAGTATACTACCACGCCCTCCTAATTTTTGTGTTTTTTGTAGAGATGGGGTCTTGCTATGTTGTGCATGCTGGTCTTGAACTCCTGGGCTCAAGTTATCCTCCTACCTGATCCTCCCAAAGTGCTTAGATTACAGGCATGAGCCACTGTGCCTGGTCCCACCATTTTGTTAGGAAAAAATGTTGAACACACAGTAAAGTTGAACAAATTGTACAGTGAATGCCCTTTAACAATGAACCTACCAACTCAGATTCTACCGCTATATTTTATTGTACTTGGTTAAGCACATATTTTTCCAGCTATGCACCCCTCAATTTATCCTCTTATTTGATACATTTTAATGGAAATTTTATATACTTTTGGTTGGGAAGGCGAGGCATCGTCATCCCATGAGCTTTCTTAGAGGCTAGTGACTGTTTACTGGGGACACTGTAGTGAGGATTTCTGCATGGAATAGGTGAAGAAGACCAAAACTGTGGCTTTCAAACTTTTCTGACTGCTACCCTTACTAAGAAATGTATTTCACATTTTTATCCAGTGTACACTACATATACACTGAAGTAAAAAATTTAGGAAACAATATTTATCCTTTACATGTGTGAAGCATGCTAGTACTTTGTATTTTATTTCATTTAAAAAGATGCTGGTCATGTTTCCCTAACTTGATTTAGATACCCACTAAGGGACTGTAATTTACCATTTGAAAATAATTGTACTTAGTTTGATTCCAAGAAGATTTTTCTTTGTAAAAGAAACCTGTGCTACTACTAGAGTTTTCCTTATCTTAGCAATTATCAATACCCTGTTTTGAGTCTCAGCACAGTACTTACTTAACATGCATGGCTTTAGGGCATGTGTAATTAAGAGAAAAACCTTAAATGCCCGGCAAGACTTCTGGAAAGAGCCAATTCAAACATTCTTTATTAGTAAGTTTACTAACTATTTTCACAAACAGTAAGATAAAGATACGTACTCTTGGATTGGTGGGAGGATTCAGTACTTACATGGTCTTCTGTTAAATTCGGCTATTAATGCCTGCCGCGGTTTCAACAAAGTAGAGAAGATCAAATGAGAAAATGGACGGGCAAATACTTTGAAAACTAATGTTTTTATTAATACTGTGGTGTGATGCCAGGAAGAAAGGGATGTTGCGATGAAGCTTTAGGGAGGCAGTGTTTCAGTATTTTAAAAACTGTTCTTATGGAACTGTTACATTAACCTCCCCAGGCCCCAATGACTACGCTTTGACGCGAGACTCCCAGAAAGTAGAAGCTATGAAGTTCAAGTTCAAAGCCCCGAGTTCCAGCGCGCTGCTCCGTTGGCGCATGCTCAAGAGCGGCTCAGGCCTCCTAGCGGGGTTGGAGAGAACACTAAGGGCGGAGTTCGGGCCACGTGGGGTCTCGTGACGTCATCTCCGGGCGCCGAGGGTGACTGGACTTGCGGTGCGCTTCCAGGGCTCCGCGGCGCTGCCGGTTGTATTCGCTGGATACCAGAGGGCGGAAGTGCAGCCGGGTTCGGCTCCGACCTCCGCGCCAGTGCTTTTTGCGGCTGCGCGGGCTTCCTGGAGTCCTGCTGCCGCGTACCCGCAGGACAGTGTGTCAGGCGGGCAATCTGCCCGGCCGCCCCACCGGAGCCCGGGATCCAGGCGTCCCCACCGGTGCGGGGAGCCGGAAGGAGGAGCCATCGCTTCGGGTAGGGTACGTGTGTGTGTCCCCTAGTGTGAGGAAATTTCTGGAGGAGGAGGGCTGGGGAGGGGCCAGGTAGGTGTGGTAGGAAGGAGGGGTGAGTAGCTGCCTGGAGGAGCGCCCGCCCGGCGGCTATGGCGGGTGAAGGTGGTTCCTCTGGGCAGAGGTGGGGTTGGCGAGACGCCGCCCCCGGAGCCCGGAGGCTGGTTGGCGGGTGTGGCCTGTGAGGTCTCTCTTGGGGTATCTGTCTGTTGCTTCTTAAGGTAGGAAAGCGAGAGCCTAGTCGCAGGCTCCAGAGTTCAGCTCAGGACCTGAATTTTTCGTGGAACAGTTATTTAAACCTTGGTTACTGCACAGTGCAGTGCGAATCTGTCCAAACTCAGTGGGTATGTCCTACAGACAATTTATCTTGTTAGGATATTCCTTGTCTCATTTTGATGATAATATTTAGTGCTACCAAAGACGTTTTCTGTTGGCAAGACACTTTTACGTACTTCATTTGTGCTTTGGGTTATTTTAAAATTATCCTGAACTTGAGGAGCCTAGGAAACGGTATTGATTCTAGATTTTTCTGAGGGGTGAGGAGGCACAGCATGTCTTGAGCAATCAGAACCCGGAGACTTATCAGACAGTAGCTGAACTTCCAAAGCCTTCCAAAATTGGCTTGTTAAATTTCTGAGACCTTGAAACTGGATAGTTGGCTCTGAACTGAACTTTGTGATTTCCATAGAGGGAGTCAGTTTCTGGTTGAATTTTGAATTTGAAAATAAGGATGTTGGGCTGAGGGCAGTAACTGAGAGGAATTTTACACCAGATGTAAGCTTGTGCTTTGATCTTCAAAGAAATACTACTTAAAATTAGGTAGAAATGAACAGAATGGAACTGTATGGATATGGGTTTTTAGAATAGTGCGCACACCTCAAGTGTGTGTTTATTTCATTAATTTTTAAATTTGGTAGAAATGAACAGAATGGAACTGTATGGATATGGGTTTTTAGAATAGTGCGCACACCTCAAGTGTGTGTTTATTTCATTAATTTCCTCCAAACTAAGTACCTCCTATGTGTTAGGGACTGGATAAAACAGTAAATGAAACAGTGAACAGAAGAATAAAAATCCCTGCCATAATGAAGTTCCACTTTGGGGATGGGGTGAGGAGACATTGATAAAAAAATTAAAGTACAGTCTTTCCTATCGCTTGGTATCTGTGGGAAATTGGTTCCAGGACCTCCCTTGGATACCAGAGTCCTCAGATGTTCAAGTCCCTGTTATAAAATGGCGTAGTGTTGCAGATGACCTATGCACGTCCTCCTATCTTTAACTCAACTCTAGATTACTCATAATGCCCAATACAACGTAAATGCTGTATAAATAGTTGTTATAGTGTATTGTTTAGGGAATAATGACAAAAGAGTCTATACATGTTCAGTACTGACCTTTTTTTCTTCCCTGAATATTTTTTCATCCATGATTAGTTGAATACAAGGACAAAGAACCCATGGGTATGGAGGGCCAACTGTATATGTCAAGTGGTGGAAAGTGCTAGAGAAAAAAATAAAGCAATGAAGGGATATAGGGAATGCCCAAGAGATGGGAGTGGTGGCCATAGAAAAGATGATATTAATGTGGAGGCCTAAAGGTGATAAAGGGTGCCACTTGGAAAGAGCTACCACAGAATCCCAGAGACAGGAGTGTACTAGCTAGTTTGGCTGGAAAAGGATGAACAGGAGGGAAAGAAGTAGTGGATACTTAGGTGGAAATGGGGCCAAGTCATTTGGGGCCGTGTAGGAATTTATAAGAACTTTAGTTTGTACTTAGAATGAGTTGGATTTTGAATAAGGAGTAATTTTGGTCTAACTTGTGTTTTAAAAGATCTGATTGCTGTGTTGTCTGTATGCAGCAGATGCAGAAATAGTGAGAGCTGTTAGTAGGCCATTGCATTTATCTAGGTTAAGGGTCAAGGTGACTTGAATCAGGGTAGTAATAGTGGAGGTAGTGCGAAATGAACAGATTCTAGACATTTTAAAGCAAGTAGGTGGAAGAAGGGTCAAGGATGATTCCAAGGGTTACGGACTGAGCAACTAAAGAATAGAACTTGGCCAGGCATGGTGGCTCATGCTTGTAATACCAACTTTGGGAGAATCACTAGCCTGGGCAACATAACGAGACCCTGTCTCTACAAAAAAAATTAAAAATTAGCTGGCTGTAGTTCTAGCTATGTGGGAGGCTGAGATGGGAGGGGAAGATCACTTGACCTTCTTGAGCTTAAGTTTACAGTGACCCATGATCCTGTCACTGTAGTCCATCCTGGGTGACAGTGAAACCCTGTCACTTAAAAAAAAAAAAAAAAAAAAAAGAGGACTTTCCGACTTTGTGAAATAGAAAAGACCACAGAGTGATAGTGATAGGAGAGAGGAGGATCTGAAATGGTTTTTGGTTTTGTATATGTTAAATTTCTAAATGGAAATGTCATATGTGTATGTAAAGCCAACCAGTTCAAAAGAGAAGTCTGGACGGAAGATAAAAATGTGGGAGCGTAAACGTATAAGTGGTATTTAAAATCATGTGAGAGATCTCCAAAGGAGTGGTTCAAGGACTGAGTCCTGTAGCATTTCAACTTTTAGAGTTTGGAGAGATTTACAAAATTTCCTGCCTCCCAGGGTGGGGCTATTTGGTAAAATTCCTGTTGAGAATCACTGATTCACGGTAACAGGATAGAAGGAAATAGAAAGCAAGGCCATTAGCTGAGAGAGAGAGAGAGAGAGGAGGAGGAGGAGGAAGAAGAAGTGAACATTTGAGGGAGGAGAAAGTATGGCATAGTGATCTGGGAAAGTGGGAGAATAAATGGGCTAGGGAAAAGTAAGAACTCTAGGCAGTACTAAGGGCCTGGTTTTGAGGTTAGTGTTTATGAATTTAAAGGAAGATCAGCCAGCATAGATTATTATTTTTTGATGTTTACACGCTTAGTCTAGTAAGTATTTGATATTTCTAGGTAGTTGGGGGTTTTGTCAATGAAAATTACTTCAGGTGGTAGGTTAGTCTTTCTTGGTGTGTAGAGTGGAAGAAACTGTTAGTTGTGCATTATATTGTTACCACACCATTCCATTTACTGAATGACTGATTGATTAACAGATGTTGTTGGTTTGGGCACCTACTCTGTCCCAGGCTCTGAACTAGATGCAGAAAATAGAATAGTCAAGTATAGCCCTGCCTTCAAGAAACTTACTTCTAGTAGATTGCATCACGGGTTGGAATTTCTTTATTTCCAAGATACTTCCTTGAAATTGGATGGATGGTGATGATGGTGTAGTATATGTAGGAGATGGAAAATCTTTCTAAAATAACAAAATATGCTGAATTTAAAGCACGACTGTACTAATTTGGAAGGGAGTTTAGGGAGAAAATTTCTTAAGTAGCTAGATTAATATATGTATATATTTTCCCCATTAACAAAAATTTCAAAGCCTGCTGTGTGCTCACTGTAATATTATTGGTGATAAGAAAGTACATATGACTCAATTTCACTGGCAAAGAACTCCCAGTTCAATATGGGGAGGCGCAGGAGACAGATAAGATAAACAGATAACTGCATTGCATGGTAGTGCCTGCTATTATGGAAGTAATAAGAGCTAGGTGAGGTAGCTCACGCCTGTAATCCTAGCACTTTGGGAGGCCAAGGCAGGCGCTAGGCAGACGGATCACAAGGTCAGGGGATAGAGACCATTCTGGCCAACATGATGAAACCCCATCTCTACTAAAAATGCAAAAATTAGCCAGGCGTGGTGGCGCGTGCTTGTAGTCCAGCTACTTGGGAGGCTGAGGCAGGAGAATCGCTTGAGCCTGAGAGGCGGAGTTTGCTGTGCGCTGAGATTGTGCCACTGCACTCCAGCCGGGTGATGGAGCAAGACTCTGTCTCAAAAAAAAAATAGTAGTAGTAATTAGACTGGAGGCTGCTTAGGGGAAAGCTTCCCAAGGAGCTGATATTAAGCTGACTCTTAAGAGTTGACCCAGAGAGGATAAAAGAGTTGGCCAAAAGAAGGAAAGAGTGTTAAAGCAGAGGAGCCATGGAAATATGAGGAAACTGTGTACTGAAAGATACATTGTTTATTGAGTGGTTACCAAATGTGCTAAACACATAACAGCCCTGTGAAAATTACAGTTACCTTCATTTTACAAATACGAGATTCAAAGAGGATGGTTTTGTTGTCCAAGACACACTAATAGGTGGAAACCAGGGTTGAAACCCATGTCAGTCTGATTTCAAAGCCCCTTAACTACCTTACTGTATTTTGCATGCTGTCAACTTCTAAATCTTCTCTGCCCTTGTTCTTTATCCCTCAATCATTTTTCACCAACTTCTCTTTCTTCCTTGGAAAGACTCATCTATTTTTTACCAGTCCACAACTACCTCTCTAGGTCAGACACTCATTACTTTTTGCCTTAGTTGCTGAAATTTCTTCCTGGCTAGCCTCTCTGACTCAAGGCTCTCCTTTTGTGTGCTGCTACCAGGTAGTTGTTTTTATTTTATCATTCTAAAACCTGTAGGCACTGTAGGACTGGTGGATGAAATTGAGATTGCCCCCAGTCTTCTGTTTGGTATGCTTCATGGTCTAGTCTCATTTTACATTTACAGATTTGACATTAGAGGAATAATAATTGCTTGCATTTCTTAGCACTTACCATGTGTCCATTATTGTATCAAACACTTTATGGATTTTTTTTTTTTTCCCGGAACAACCTTGTGACTTGGGTAATATTAATTCCATTTCACAAGTAAGGAAATTGAGGCTTAGTGAAGTAAAGTGACTTGCCTGAAGGTCACATATAATGTTATAACATGTTACAGTATCAGCTCTTTCATTATTTATTAATATTACTCTCAACTCAAAATTTCCTTAAAAGTTGGCATATGTTGCGCCTGCCTACTTAATACCTTTATTGATGCTATTTTGGTCTATTAGAATATTTGTCACGTTTTTGCCTGTCCATATTCTACCCGTTCTTCAAGTTCC